CCGTCATCCAGAGCACTTACGGCATCAAAGGCGAGGAGCCTCATATCAAGGAAGAGATGCAGACCGATGACGTCAATGGAGAAATCTACGATGAATACGATGAGGAAGAGGACGACCCCGATGCGGACTATGGCAGTGACAGTGAAAATCACATTGCGGGGCAAGCCAACTGATCAGGGTCCAAATGTCTCGTGACCTACAGGACTTCAAGGAGAAAAGAAAAAATTAATAAAGCCCCATCTGGTTTATCCTTGCCAGTGGCCAAGCACATTAACTTTCTCATACACTGACTGTTACTTTAACTGTTAGTCTTAACTAGTTGGGACATCAGCTGACTAATAGACATCAGCCTGCATCAGAAGAAAAAAGGCTCAGAAGAAAGGAAACAAAGACAACGATGACAACAACAACAGAATGATATAAGCTATGGGTAAAATAATGCCAGTAATTCAGCTGCTATACCCAAGCACTGAAGTCTTACCCGTCGACCTTTTATTATTATTATTTTTTTTTCAAATAAACTTTATGGCTGTTTGTTCTACAATGTTCTAGAAATTCTCACTCAGGTACACAGTGCCAACAAGTGGCTTGTGAATGTGTTTTGTTGTTTTGTGCTACAGTTTAAAGAGAAATAATTTTTTTTTTTTTGGTAATGCACCTGACAGGAAAGAAAAAAAGATAAAATTCCTTTTACCCCCTCTGTCTCCTCCTCCTCCTCCTCCTCCCTGGCAAATCTGGGTCAGAAGTGTGTGCGTGCGTGTGTGCGTGCGTGCCTGTGCGCGTGGCTGGCAAGGAAGGAAGTGGGGAGTCTGTTTCTGTTAACCCCAACAAGCAATTATTTCCTTTCAAGAGAGGACTTCTCTTCATCAGTTGCACACCATACTGAGTCTTTGAGCAAGTGCCAAATTTGTACTAAAGCGCTGAACTAGTCCAATTTGCGTTTTTTGGTTAGTCTCTTCTTGTTTTGTTTTTCTTTTGCTTTTCTTTTGCTTCCTGCTCTGTCTTAAGTTAGGACAGTGGTGTATCTTAGACAATCCTTTGAAGAACCTGATATACCAGCAGCTGGTGAGATTAGACATATATTTTTGGTTTTGGTTTTACTTTTTAAAGGAAACTGTAGGTGCCGTTCTCAGGTGAAAAAAGAGAGAGAGAGAGAGACATAAGAAATTTAGAGAAAAAATATTTTATGGTCTTGGATTTTCATGTGTGCGTGTTTATGGTACTAATAATATTGGACTATTGTGAGCAAAAAAGCGTGTTCTAGACTGAAGTCTCACACCCTCCAAATGACCTGGTCTGTAAGAAGCCTTTGCTTTTAATTTACACTTCAAGTGGCAGTATATACATTAAAAAAAAAAAAGGCAAAAAACAAAAAGATAAGAAAGGCTTGTCTAAAATGTGGTTTCTTCTGCACAGGACAGGGCAACTAGAAATGTTACCTCCTCACTGAGCATAATTAGGTTACTGTGATGTCCAGTTTTGATGAACTTGTACCTTCAGGGTGGTGGAGTACTGATCTCTGATTCAAAGGACGATTTTTTTTTAACTGACATTTTTTTCTCCTTTGCACTTGCAGAAATCCATTTTTATCAGTGGGATGTGTGTGTAGGAAGGAAGACTAATAGCTATGAAGAGATTTCCATATTCAAAGTGGGCATGTAAGAACACGAACCTTTGTGGTACTGCATTTCCCAAGCTGCTGCCTCTCACAAGTGAAAACTTTTTCTCCTGGGCTAAAATATTTTCAACGTTGTTCTAGAGCCCTGTAGATATGTTCCTTGGGCAGTTCTGCCTTCCTTGGGCAACAGCAACCAGGTGAGGAAGGTGGATTTACACAAGCGTAATCCTGAGCAGAAGTTAGACTCTTGTATTTCCAATAAGGTAACCAAATGTTAACGCTTTATTTCAGAAAAAAAGAATGTAAATACAAGTGAATCAAAGAGTCTCTTTTCATCTCCTCACTCTGATCTTCCTGTAGAAGGAGAGGACCCAGGTTCCTGTAGCAAAACAGAAGCGTTAGATCTAAGCCAGCCAACCAACCAAAAAGGCTACCCCTGATTTCAAACAGCATCATCCCAGAGCTCCTCTCTGTCACGAGAAGGAAAGTCTTGGGATCGTACTGAGGCAAAAGCCTTCCTCTGAGTCAGTTTTCTAACTGGGGACACCCCCTTCATATTCGTGTTGCTCCCTGCTGAATTCCTGCTCCTAGAGAGAGACTCATCAGTGTCGTTACCACTTTTAACTTGTAAAAATCGCCCTGTGCATCTTGGTGCCAGCGAGGTCCCAGCCCAAGCATTCACCAGAGCCATGGTCTGCAGTATTGGGCAGCATTGATTTTGCAAATGGTCCCTTAATCAGGCAGTGTTAGCCCTTGGTGCAATCAGCCATTTAAGTCCAGGTGGAGGACGGAAGGGGCAGGTAGGAGGAGAGACTGGGAACAAGGATGTGCGAGGTCTTTCTTTGCCTCTTGAAATCCCACTTGAAGTGTAACTTGACCTCTGCAGACCTTGTGCAAAGCAAACAAGCAAATGCGTTGAAGACGTAGGACAATACTCCGATGAGCGGTTTGGATGTGTGATAGTTTTACCCTGCAACATCTGTTTTATTCTTCTCCTGTTTTCCCTTTTTTGATTTCCACCTCTGCCTCGAAAAATTCTTTTCTATTTTCTCTCTCTCAGAAGATTTGCTCTGAAGTTATGCTTGGAGTAGCTGATCATATCCTCCATGTCAGAGAGGGTTCTTTTTGTTTATATTTTATGACTGTTGGGTTTTTTTTTTCAGTTGAACTGCCTCTTCTTGCTAGTGTTGTAATGGTAATTATAATAATAATAATAATAATGGTCAGCTGTTCCCAGATTAGTAAATTATGTATAATTTATTTTATCCCTCCCCTTTTTTTTAACTTTATTTTATTCTGTTCTAATTTGGCAGTGCAGCAAACGAAGCTGTTAGGCTATTTAAAATGGATACCCCTCCCTACCTTGCCTTTTTATATATATATAAATATATATATATACATATGAAAACAAATCGCTGCTTCTTCTGCTCACACCATTCCTCTTTCTTTTATTTTAATTTTGGCCCCAGCCATGTCAACTTCTGATGTTTATTATGATGGAGTGAATTAATGGGAGTGTTGTTTTCAATCTTAATTAACTTCTGCTCTCTCATCACTCATTTTAGTTATTTAATTACACCAGTCATCTAGAGCCAATTTTTTTGAAGCACTCTGTTTGGATAAGAAGGAGAAAAAAAAATAGACAATTGTTTTTATATCATTATTATGTACAATGTGAAAACAGATATTTGCTCCTTTTTTTAAAAAACTTTTAAATTTGTTCCCTGTCTTTGTGAACAAATTACTTCTGACTCTTGTGGGTTCACCTCACATTTGCTGGATGCTTGATTTCCACCACGTTATAGAGACTCTCTGGTTTAATTGTGTCACTTTGGGCTACCAGAATACTTTGTTTTAGCTCCAGGTAGGTGCCACTGCAGCAGGCATGATTGGAGCAAGTCTTAGATGCGTGGGCTGGAAAACCGGCCTCGGAGAAGTCACTGGGAAAAAGGCCCTTTGGCTTCAGCGGGACCGGATTTGAGCCCCGAACAACGGGCTGCACTGCCGGAGACGCTCCCCATCTGCACAGGCAGGGTCAGTCCCGCGCCAGAGGAGCTCCTGTGCCTGGGCTGCAGGACCGAGCTCTGCTCTCGGCGATGGTCGGCGGGACGGAGCCCTTCTCCGGGAGCGCTCTGCTGTGCTCGCTGCCTTGGCCCGGGCGAGGGCTCAGATGAACGCTGATTTTGTTACCGCGCACATTTCCATCGGAGAGGCTACACTAGAGCCTGGGGTTCGGTCAGGCTTTTCGAACTGGGTAGCTTTAGCAGACTGACCACATCCTGCATTTGGGTGTTGAAACCAATGCAGCCATGTTAAAACAAAAAAAGGCAAAAAAAAAGAAAAAAAAAAAAGGCTCAGCAAAATACTTAACGGCTGTGCTAATGTTTTGTTGGCTACAAGGATAAGCATCCACATATCTTTCGGCAGTAGAAGACCAGATTTGAAAACAAGGCCCTGTTTTGTCCCTCTTTAATTTCTTAGAAAACAAAACAAAACAAAACAAAACAAAGCAAAACGTGCATCTATAAAAAAATCTTCTTGTCTTGTTTCTTTTTTTTCCTGGGTTCTGTGCCCTGGAGCGTGTAGAAAAACCAGGTTAGAAGAGATTAGGATCGTATTAACCTAAAAGCACCTCGAGGCCCTGATGCCGAGGCGGGCTTCGGTTCCCCTCTTCCCTGGGAACCTGGTGAGTGAGGACGGTCTTGGGGAGCTGCCGGGGGGACGTACGGGCCGTCCCCTCCGAAACCGGGGAGCCGCTTATGCCACGCGTCTCGCGAGCTTACAAAAGAGCAACACCAGCAGTGGGAAAAAGGGGAAAAGAAAGGAGAAAAAAACTGAGGCACTTGCTTCTAAGCTCAATTAAATAACACAGAGTATATCCTTTTTCAATTTATTCATGCCTTATATTAGTAAAATAGGATTTTTAAGTGCATTTAACATCTTTATTTAACCGTTCCGCTATATTAATCAGGCCCCCAGAAAAGAACACTAGCTATTATTATAGCATTTAATTAGTTTTGTAACCAAATCCTCTTATTACGAATGCATATGGAAGAAATTCTTTCTTCGAAGACATTATTTCAAAGATTTGGTTACTGCAGTAGACTCTCTCTTTAATTAAATCATTTTTTAGAAAGTAAATTGTCTTTAACCTTTTTACAGCACATTTTCAGAGCTTTTTCTTTTTAATCCAAAGAGATGAGCTGTTATTGTCCCCGAAGAAGCCTCTGACATCACGTTCATAACATCAAAAATAATTATACTCCGTGGAAACGTAGACCTTACTTAGCAAGAATTCGTCTGCTAGGATGAATGGCAACTATATGATGTCTCGTGCGTTTAAGGGCATGATGTATCGGGTAGGAAGCGTTTTTGTCTGCCCGCTTCTCGATAGAATCATACCTTCAATTTTGCAGAGAACTGTGTGTAATTCACTAGATGTGGATTCAAGTGTATCCTCAATTCACAGGGCATGGGCTGGCTGTTTAGCTTGGTTTATATTTACATTTTTTCAACTTAACTTGTCAGTTTCCCAGATTGAAGAACATGTCAAGTTCGTTTTTTCTACTGACTGATTTCTCTACTCCCCAGTGTTTTTGTCACTGGTTTGCTGAAACAGTATTTATATAGCTCCATTGGCTCTAAAGCTCTTACTCCTTCTAACGTTTTGGATTTTACAAGTGAAATGAAAATAGAAAAGAAATAGAGACAATCAAATGCCTGGAGCTTAAAACAAAGTATGTGCAACCTACCATCTCACTTGAAATTTAATAAAAGAAATAATTATGTAAATATAACATAGAGTTATAGATTTATATTTTGTTCATAACACATAGTGTAATATAAGTTGTATATTTTCATGTTTTGGTTTTATGTTATCATTCATGCCACAATAAATAAAAAAAAAAACAGGAGTTGAT